TTCTCTGAAGGGAGGAGAGAACTTCCACTTTGACTATGACCCTGTCAGAATAAGATCGAGGTTGGCGAACGCAAAAGGCTTCCATAGCCTTGGAAACTCATGACTAGAGCCTAGGGAGATTACTGATGCCATAAACAAGAGTGTCAAATTGTTAAGTCAACAACAGGAGTCACTGTGTACTTACTTCTCATGTGGGATCTGTCCTTAATGTGTTGTCCAATGTGAATTAATGCTATAACTAGTACTGAAACAGTATTTTGCACTTTGTGTGTCTGTGTGGGTGCAAACTGATGAAATCTTTACTTAATGTATGCTAAACTAATCTTCTGTATATAAAGAGAATTGAAAATGAATCTTGATGTGAATGGAATGGGAGAGGGAGTGGGAGATGGGAGGGGTGCGAGTGGGTGGGAAGTTATGGGGGGGCAGCCATTGTAATCCATAAACTGTACTTTGGAAATTTATATTCACTAAATAAAAAAGGAAAAAAAATAAAAATGAAAAGTTTTAAAAAATTGAGAGATTCTAAAATGGCGGAACAAGGAACAATGTACTGTGTTACGCCAGGGATAAAAAGAAAAAAAAAACAAGAAGTGCACTGTCAAGGGAGAATTAGAGAGCACCATGGACCTGAGTGGAAGGAGAAGACGCACAGCACAAACACAGACACAACACACAAAAAAACCGAGAGCCAGAGTAGGTGGCAGCTTGGAGACGGAGCTGAGATCAAACTTCTTCAGCCCATGGTGATATAGCAGGAGGGAGAGTGTGTAGTGGAATCCAGCCTGGAGCCCTAGGGGCTAGCTAGTACCCGTGGACCCAGTGGAAGTAAAAGGCACACATTTCTCACCCCACCCTCCCCACAATAACTCCAAGCATCTAGCTGAGAGGGTGGACACCATTTTGGGCTTGGGTGGCAGATGCAGAAGCCCTTGTGGGCACACACAGCAGCTAGCTGAGCCGGGACACCATCTCCTCAGCAGTACTGGTGGCAGTGGCAGGGAGAGGTAACATTTGGCCAATGGCTTTTGTGCATGTGTGTGATCCAGAGATTCTGGCAAAGGAAAAAATCTGTGGTTCCCACTGACTTTGAGCCTAGCTGAGAGCACAGATGGTGGCTGGGCACCCATCTAAGACTGAGAGGCGCTCCCAGCCTCCCAATATACCACAGGCTCCAGGGCTCCAGCCACCTCGGCAGAGCACCTATGAACAACTGGCTAAGGGAACATTTGCCTCTTTGTGGATCTGATAGGATGGCAGGGCAGATAGGAACCTCTGCACCCAGTGATTGTGGGAAACTTATGTACTGCAAGGACTTGGTGGTTGCATGAGAGCATGCAGGGTATAGCTGGGTCTCTGGCCAGTCACTGTATGCAGCTCTACCAGGATGCCTATTTTCACCATTGCTATTCAAACTAGTCCTAGAAGTTTTAGCCAGAGCCATTAGGCAAGAAAAATAAATCAAAGCGATACAAATTGGAAAAAAGGAAGTCAATTATCCCTATTTGCAGATGACATGATTCTCTATATAGGGGATCCAAAAGCTTCCACTGAAAGACTATTGAAACTCATAAAAGAGTTTAATAAAGTGGCGGGATATAAAATTAACAGACAAAAATCAATAGCCTTTGTATACACATACGATGCCATGGCTGAAAAAGAATTTTTAAAATCAATCAAATTCACAACGGCTACAAAAGAATTAAATAGCTTGGAAAAATTTAACCAAGGATTTCAAAGATCTCTATGATGAAAATTACAAAACACCAAAGAAAGAAATAGAAGATTGCATTACAAAATGGAAAAACCTTCCATGTTCATGGATTGGAAGAATAAATATCATCAAAATGTCCACACTATCAAAAGTAATTTCAGATTCAGTGTGATCCCAATCAAAATACCAACAACATTTTTTCAGATCTAGAAAAAAATGATGCTAAAATTCACATGGAAACAGAAGAGACTCTGAATAACTAAAGAAATCTTATACAACAAAAACAGAGACATCACAATACCAGATCTAAAGACATACTACAGGGAAATTATAATCAAAACAGCCTAGTACTGATATAAAATCAGACACGTAGACCAGTGGAACAGAAGAAAAACTCTAGGAGACAGTCTACAAATCTACAACCAACTTATTTTTGACAAAGGAGCTAAAATCAAGCCCTGGAGCAAGGAGTCTCTTCAACAACTGGTGTTGAGGAAAATGGATCTCCACGTGCAGAAAGATGAACTAGACCCTTACCTTACACCTTACACAAAAACCCACTCAAAATGGATGGAAGACCTAAATCTATGACCCAGTACCATCAAATTACTTGAGAACATTGGGGAAACCATGCAAGGCACTGGCATATGCAAAGACTTCTTGGAAAAGATCCAAGCAATTCATGCAATAAAATAGACAAATGGGATTACATCAAACTGAGAAGCTTCCGCATTACGAAAGAAATGCTAAGCCATGTGTAGAGGCAACTGACAGAATGGAAGAAAACATTTGCAATCTATGTAACTGATAAAGGGTTAATATCCAGAATCTAAAAAGAGCTAAATAATTAAACAACAAAGCTAACAATCCAGTTAGGTAATGGGCAAAGGACTCAAAGAGGCATTTTTCAAAAGAGGAAATTCAAATGGCCAACAGGCACTTGAAGAAATGCTCAGGATCACTAACCATCAGGAAATGCAAAGCAAAACCACAATGAGGTTTCACCCACCCATCAGACTGACTCTCAGAAATCAACAACAAATGCTGGCATGGATGTGGGGAAAAGGTACCCTAATCCACGGTTGGTGGGAATGTAAACTGCTGCAGCTGCTGGGGAAAACAGTATGGTGATGATACTTCAGAAACCTGAATACAGACCTAACATGACCCAGCCATCCCACTCCTGGGAATTTACTCAAACCAAAAGAAATCAGCATATGAGAGTTATCAGTACTCCCATATTCACTGCTGCTCAATTGTCAGTAGCTAAGTTATGGAACCTGCACAGACGTCTATTAGCTGAAGACTAGATAAAGCAATTATGGTATATATACTCTATGGAGTACTACTCATCTGTGAAAAATAAAAATAAAATCCTGTTTTTTGCAACAAAATGGATGCAACTGGAAACCATTATGCTTAGTAAATAAGCCAGACTCAAAAAGACTGATGTTATATGTTTTCCCTTGATTTATTTGATCAGTTTAAGTTCTTGAATAATAATTTCCATTATTCTGAGATCACTGTCAATATGTTAGTAACTAGGTATATGCTTTGTTAATAGAGCGTGAATTTTTGCATCATCAAAAACACCTGACATTTCTGAATGTTCATTATATGGGAGGTATAGTGTACCTTATATGACTTATCTCATTTAATTTTCCCAATAACCTTATGATGCTAATTCTATAATTTTTCAGCTTTAAATTAAAAGTGTCTACAAAGGAATTTATACTCCTCTGAGGAAGAACTAGTGCATTTTAAAGGCATAAATAAAAGCTGGGCTTACCTATCTCCACAAATATACTCTTTAAACTTTATACAATACTACCTCCTCCTGTAAATGTGGTTTTTATAAAAATCTGTTCTAAATGGATTTCTTAATTCAATTCCCCCCCCCAAAAAAAACACATAGTACAGTCTCAGGTGCAATATCAAGTGTCTGTTTCCCTGTCATAGGAAGTTACATGGAAGGAGAATGCTGCTCTGGAATAAACCCACTACCCTGTGGCCACATTGGACGTCCCAATTTTTAAAAGGTTGCTGTAGAATCTTACAAAACTGGGGCCTAGCACTATGGTGTAGTGGGTAGGGCCACCACCTGCAGTGCCAGCATCCCATATGGGTGATGGTTCGAGACCTGGCTGCTGCTCCATTTCTGATCCAGCTCTCTGCTATGGCCTGGGAAAGCACTGGAAGATGGCCCAAGTGCTTGAGCCCCTGCACCCATGTGGGAGACCCAAAAGAAGCTCCTGGTTCCTGGCTTCAGATCAGCTCAGCTCTGGCTGTTGTGACCATGTGAGGAGTGAACCAGCAGATGGAAGACCTCCCTCTCTCTCTCTCTCTCTCTCTCTCTCTATTTCTCCTTCTCTCTATGTAACTCTTTCAAGTAAAATAAATAAATCTTAAAAAAAATTAAAACCTATACCTTTAGTGTGAATTATAAACCTAATCCTGTAAAACAGCAATCAAGTAAAAGAACAATAAATATGTTGATACTTTCCCAGGAGTTACTGCATTTACATTGCTGAAGAAGAAAACTTTTCAAATTTGCAATATTCTAAGAGAGCCACCTTAAATATTTCTCCAAAAATGTAGGATATAAAATCAAACTTTCTTAAAGAAGTATACTATCAGAATATAGACAAAATTCTCTGTAGAGTATTCTAAAGTGAAGAGCTGGAATGGAGTAAGTTTTAAAAAAAGCCATTTATCTTTGCTGTTGATTTAAATAAATGAATTAATATTTCCTCTCAGTTTCACTTTACTATACCACTGGAAACTATGACCAGGTTTTGGTTGTTTCTTAGTGAAAACAACATCCAGTAAATATTTGCAAATGTTCTCTAGAAGACCTTTTAAAGACAAAAAGATTTTTATCTTTAATCATCTGACAGTAGGGTGACAGAGTAAGACAAAGAGATCTTTCATCTGCTGGTTCACTCCTAAAATGGCCCCAACAGCTAGGGATGAGCCAACCTGACGCTAGGAACCCGGGATTCTCTCTTCGTCTCCCCCATTTATGGCAGGGGCCTAAGTACTTGGACCTCCTTCTGCTGGCTTCTCAGAGCATTAGCAGGGAGCTTGATCACAAGTAGAGCAGCAGGGACTTCAACCAGCACTCTGTACAGGATGCCAGCATCACTCATGGCACCTTCACACGCTGTGTCACAAGTCCAGGCCCCAAAAAGATAACTGACAGAACAGAGAAGAAAACAGGGACGTCACGAGGCGTGGCTGCTGTTGCGACTGCTCACAAAGACCCAGCACTGGAAATCACACTTACCCAACAACGTCAAGACACAGGCAAGTATTGCTATCAGGGCTCCTGTACTCAGGCCAGCAGGCAAGACGTACGCCTCCGCGTTACAAGTCTGAGCTATGCCATCAGCGTCACAGTCACAGACTCGAATGGTGAGGGTGTTGGTGCTGCTGAGGGAAGGGGACCCACTGTCCACAATGAAGATTGGCAGATAGTAGACGGACTGCTCCTGTCTCCGGAAGCCATTCCGCCTGGTTAGTATTGAGGCTGTGTTGTCTAGGATAAAAAAAACAAGTCTATAACAGAAGATTTCCAACGGAGTCAGTTGTCCCGAACTTTATTTAACTCACTCCATTTACTTTGATTCCTTAATTAGGGAAAGTTATAAAGTTACAGATCTTTTTATTAAAAAATTCTCTTTGAATCAGTTTCAACAGAGACATACTCCCTAATACATTTTAAGATACTTACATCACTCTGCACAACTATGACCAAAGAAGCAGTTATGAAATAAAACATGAAAACATTTATGAATTGTTAATTGCAACTTTGTAAAAACTGCATATAGGATACCAATTTTACTCAAATTTGAAACATATGCTTCTAGAAAGGGGAGTAAATACTGACAAGCTAAGTATATTTTCAGCATCATCACAGAGAACAGATGAAACTTCCAATCTAAACTTTCTGTCAAAAGTTCCAAGCTCAGTACAGCAAAATGTAAGACAAGACACTCCAGCTTCATTTACACGGAGACAGACATATTAACCCTGCAATGCCCTAACTGGACAATGCACATGTACTCATGTATTGAAACATCACATGGTACCCCACAAATATTTATAATTTCATATGTATATTAACTTTTAAAAAAGAAGTTTAGTATGCAAAGCTATTCAGAAAAGAAATTTGTACAGTTTCAAACAGTTCTAGGGGCATGAACTGTGATGTAGTGAGTTGGTTAAGCTGACAACGTGTGGCACTGGTATCCCATATGAGTGCCAGTTCAGGTCGTGGTTAATCCACTTCTGGCCCAGCTTCGGCTAATGCTCTGGGAAAAGCAGCAAATGATGGCCCAAGTGCTTGCACCTCTGTCACCCTTGTGGGAGATCTGATGTGATTCCTGACAACTGGCTTTGGCCTAGCCCATTCTGGGCATTGTGGCCACCTTGGGAGTGAACCAGCAGATGGAAGATATCTCTGTATCTCTCCCTCTCTCTCTGTAACTCTGACTTTCAAAATAAATACATGGGTATTTTAAAAATTCTATATTGTTACTTTTAGAAATTAAAACCACAGGTATGCAAACATTGTATCAATGACAAAAACAAGTCACTCCTGTTTAATTTATATCAATCTATTTCATCTAAATACTTATAGTCATTATGAAACTTTAAAAAGCAATCAATAATTCTATAACTTAAGTGGGATACCTGTTTCAGAATCACATTTTTTAATATCTATTGGTGCTTTTTCCACCTAAATGTCTTAACCAATTAGATAATTTGTAAGATGTGAAACTTATAGCAAGTAATGAAAAGGTAAAGGAAAGGAAGAAAACCCGGTCCATAGTTTCATGAGTGTATATATGTTATCCTTCTAAACAGTCAAATTTTATATTTATCCAATGTTAATCTGGAAGAATTAACAGTGCTCTAATGAAGGATCTAGTTGAAATCCATTCTGACTCAAACAGCACAAAACAGCAAGCCCACACCTAACTTCAAAAAATGCATTGCTTGTCACTACAGCAGGGATAGAAATAAAGCTGTCTGGTGCCAGATTCTGTCCCGGTTGCTCCTCTTCCAGGCCAGCTCTCTGCTGTGGCCAGGGAGTGCAGTGGAGGATGGCCCAAGTGCTTGGGGCCTGCACTCATGTGGGAGACCAGGAGGAAGCATCTGGCTCCTGGCTTCGGATTGGCACAGTGCACCGGCCATAGCGGCCATTTGAGGGGTAAACCAACAGAAAGAAAAGCTTTCTCTCTGTCTCTCTCTCTCTCTCTCACTATCTAACTCTGCCTGTCCAAACAAACAAACAAACAAAAATCTGTTTGATCTTCAGATTCCAAGTGGTGGGATTTTTTATAAACTGATCTTTTACTGGAAAATTTATACATGCAAAAGGTATTCACTGAAAAACTAAGCATGCATTGTTGAAGAATGCTGTGTTGAGTACACACCTATCAATGCACAGGTTCATGCCACCACTAGCTCAGTTGACATATATTTCTATGATTCAACAGAAAAAGTTTCACAAGATATTGATGTGTAATCTCCCATGGTTGACATCAAAGTCAACTCCCCCCCCCAACACACACAAATACACAGAATTGAGGAGCAGAAGCTGTAAAGTCCATCAGAAGATAACTCAGGATTCAGAAAAGAGTTTACAATATGCACAATGTGCTTTATTTGCTCCCTAAGACAGAAGACAAAAAAGAATTAGCACTCTATTTGGATACTTTCTCTCTCTATTTTCTTGAGCTTGGTTGTGGTTGTGTGAATATAAATACAGACACTCTGGTACACATCTGCTCAACAGCCCTGGTGGCGCCGGTTATGACTGAGGGGCAACGTGTTCATCCTTCCTGTGAAAGTCATCAAGTCCCCTGCCTCCGTCCTGACCAGATGAAGCCCAGGGCTGAGAATAACGCTTTCCGTCTATGATTAAGTGAGAGAGTCTGGGATTGCCCGCATAGGAAATGTTCTTCTTTTTATATTACTGAAGGGAATAGATAGCGTTCTCTTTAAATGGAGAATGGAATCAGGAGAAAATTATTGTTTTCAGATTAGTTTTTGAGGCCAGAGTTGGATTTTCTGCTCTAAAGGAGATTTTGGCCTCAGGCAAAAGTCCTCAAAATACCCATCTTCTGAAACCAAGTCTTTTTAGACAGGCCAGTATTTGACTGGAATATCTATTACTGCAATTTCCCCTGAAACCAAGCTTACATAATCAGCCTAAATGAAAGGAAGAACTACATCTTCCATACTGTTTGGAGATATTATTCTCCCTTTATATCAGGTTCAAATACAGTTGTCTGCTGAAATAAGTATCTTGAATAGAAATTCATTCAAATATATATATATATATATATTCAAAATTAGACAAAAAAGTACAGGTTCTCATGCTTTCTCTATAATTATTGTAATTGTCACTGTATATCTACTAAATGAAACCAGAGTTTATTCACACGTTTGTATGAAGTTGGTTTGTTCGTGACACCTGGGAAACTGCTAAGAGCAGTTACCTTTGAAGTATAGAAATGTGATTTGACAGGAGAACGATTTATTATCTGTAATTTTATAATTCTCAGTATCATAAATATATTATGACTATGATTTGGTTTCCTTTTATTTTGCAAAAATATAAAAATATCTGATGTTATTGAAAGTATTAAATTAAAAATGCATAAAGTCCAATTTTTTCTGAGTGTCTCAAGTTTTGTCTATGCAACATAAGCCTTATTAAGGTATTAAGCTGGCCGTCAACATATTTGGGTCTTTGCGAAAAAGAATTTGGTATAAAAATAAGGACCCAAGTGTCTAGAAGAAAAGAAAGAAATAGATCTAAATTTCACCATTTGGCTTTAGGCCTAAAGTGATCTAGATAACAGGTCCTCCTTCATGACAGCAAATCCATGGATAAAAATCACTTGAGGGGCCAACTGCCCTTTAATTAATGTCCTTGGCTGTTCAAAAAAATCCATGATCAGCATTTCTGTGGGAGAACAAGGGTGTGCCCTGGTGAGGCTGTACTTGCTGCCGTCACCAATGACAGCAGCGGTACTTACCTTTGTTATCTTTGAGTGTAAAATTGTGGTTATTTGTTGCTTCGGTTGTTAAGCTGAAGTAGAACTGGTGTCCACTGGCTGGCTCATCCTTGTCAACGGCACTGACTTTCTGGATAACCTAGGAAAAGAGCACACACAGCAGGGAAGCATGCCTCGGTTTTCTGAGGTCGAGACAGAACAATTCTAATAAATTCCAAATTTCTGAACGAGCAGGGCCAGAAAGGGTCAGGTGGAGTAAAATGAACCCAATCTATAAGAAGGCTGTATGGAACATCATGTCCTTCTAGAATTTTACGTTTGAATTTACTTTTGTGAACCTCGGAAATAAGCCATGCCAATTGATTAGACACCCCGGCACACATCACAAGGCGCTGCACACCATGGGTGAACCAACCAAAATGAGCCTGAACTGCACTTAATTCTTAGAATGTCAAGGCACTTAACCCCTGCTGTGTAAGAGGGAGCAGCCCACTAAACCTTAATGCTCTGGGTTTCCCCTACAAGGAGTGGGAGCCCTCAGCCATCAGGCTGCTTCTACAGTGTTTACCTTTTCTTCCCGAGGAGTTTTCGTCACCCAATTAAACCAGACTCTGCAAGTTCCTTTAATATTAGTTTATGCTACACATCAAAGTGTTGGTTTTGCTGAAACAAGCTGATTACATTTTATCTGAAAGCTGGAAGGATTTCAAAGACAACTGCTGCTGGATATTTTTAAAGTCACAGAGGGGGAGTACAGTGTTTGAAAGCCTCTTACCTGTCCTGGCTGGGCGTTTTCACAGACGGTGGTCTCATAGTCCATGGCAAATTCGGGGGCGTTGTCATTTATGTCGAGAATGGTGATGGCCACATAGCCTCTTCCCACTTGAGATGGGTTCTCTAATGAATAAGATAATGCATTACTTACTCTGATAGCAAAGCTGTTTGGCTGCCATTTTACTCAGGAGACAATTAGAATCAAGAAATCAGGTTTGCCCCTCTAAAGCAGAACTCAGAATAAAGCCATAAAGAATCTTATGAAATCCAGAACCACAGCACTGTATTCCTCAAAGGAAGCTACAGACATATGTACTGTGTGTATCTTTCTATATATGTATGCATATATACATGTTTAAATGTGTGTTTATGGATATATTGTACATAGAAATGAATCTGTGATCTATGGATAGATGTATAGGCATCTTCAAAGAATTTGTGAAAAATGTGTAGTATGAATCTACATATGCATTTCAAAGTTTTTTTTCCCCTCAATACTTATTATTTACTTTGAAAGAGTTACAGAGATAAAGAAGGAGAGAGAGGTCTTCCATCTACTGGTTTACTTCCCAGATGGCCTTAATGGCCAGATCTGGGGTAGGCTGAAGCCAGGAGGAGCCAGGAGTTTCATCCAGTTCTCCCTCATGGGTTGCAGGGATCAAAACATTTGGGCCATCATCCAGTGCTTTCCTGGGTGCACAGCAGTGAGCTAGCTCTGAAGTGTAACAGCTGGGACATGAAGTGGAGCCAATATGGCATGTTAGCATCGCAAACAGCAGAATTACCTGCTACATTACAATGCTGTCCCCTCAAAACGTGTTTTTTTTTTTTTTGCACTAAAATAAACTTATCTTTTAATTCCACTTTCCGTTAACTTTTTGACATACCCATGTGTATTTGTGTATTTTTGTCTGTCATCAGCTAAATGTCAAAGAATAGGTGGCACACTATGAATGCTAGAATAGATGACACACCATTAATGCTAGAGCTCATATTTCTATAAATATACCCGTGCATTATCTACACATGTATTAAATATATGCATATATTAAACAGTGTATATATAACATGCTTTAAATATTTGTTCTTTTTTTAAAAGTTTTCTTATCAGAAGCTAAAATTAGTTGAATAGTAGAATATTTAAATCTGAGTGCCTGGATTAGTGGTTAGTTTGCTTTATTGTAAACTATTTAATCAACTCCATTTCAGCATGAATGCAATATATGAACTCTGGCCTGATAATAAAACAGCAGCCCTCTGAAGGTATGTCATATTCGCCAGTTCACAGTCATTTCTTTTTATTAAAATTTTAGCTAGAACATTTAACACAGCATTGAATAAAAATACCAAGAATGCAAAAAAATAAAATTTTAAATATTACAAATAAAGCTAGTCAATATAAATTTACTTCATGCATCAAAAATTTGGGACTTTTCAAGTTTCTGTTCATCTATAATGTTTAAAATTCTGATTGCATTTATAATCTCACGATAGCCTATTTTCCAGTCTCCCTGTCCTCCACCCTAATTTAATTTTAAGCCTTATAACTTACGGCTCTCCATTGCAAGGACTGTGATATTATGAACAGCATTCGTCTCTCGATCCAAAGATTTGGCTGTTGTAATAACTCCACTGTTGGCATCAATATTGAAGTATCTCTCTAAGTCTGTATTTCTGTCAATTGAATACCTAATTAAAAAATTTAAAAAAAGTAACATTTATGTTTGGTCATACTTTGTTAAAATTATTTCATTAATTGTATAGCCAATCACCAACTTCCTGCTGATTCCATCATCTGTTACATTAATAAGACAAACATTTTTCTTACATTAAGCTTCCCCGTGTAATAGCTGATTCCTAACCTATATATCAGAAATGCCTTGTCTTTTCTGCCACAGTACAAAGCAACATCATAACATAGTTATCTTTATAATTCTCTGATATGTTATTATAACCTTGAATTTATTATTATTACCATTTTAGATACTTAAATACATTTATAATAAATTTAATAACCCTGGCCATGGTTATACATCCTTCAAAAATAAAATATATGTATACATCTTGCCCATTTTCAATATAGTTAATAGTAAAATTTTTTGAAAACACCAACCTGGTAATCATTCCTTTTTTGTATCTTCTACTTAGATGTCTTGACCAGGGTTCCAAAGACACATTCTAAAGTAGAAACCCTAAAATCACATGACTATTTTCACATGTAAAAGGCATTTTTTCTCAAATTATTTGCAATCCAAGCATTAGTGAAGTACTTGTATTCTTATTTCATGGATACTATTTGTTCCATACACAAAACTCACCCTCCCCTACTTAATGGTCTGGTCATCTTTTTTTTTTTTTTTTTTTTTACAGGCAGAGTGGACAGTGAGAGAGAGAGACAGAGAAAGGTCTTCCTTTGCCGTTGGTTCACCCTCCAATGGCCGCCGCGGCCGGCGCACCGCGCTGATCCGATGGCAGGAGCCAGGAGCCAGGTGCTTTTCCTGGTCTCCCATGGGGTGCAGGGCCCAAGCACCTGGGCCATCCTCCACTGCACTCCCTGGCCACAGCAGAGGGCTGGCCTGGAAGAGGGGCAACCGGGACAGAATCCGGCGCCCCGACCGGGACTAAAACCTGGTGTTCTGGCGCCCCAAGGCGGAGGATTAGCCTAGTGAGCCGCGGTGCCGGCCAATGGTCATCCTTAAATTCCATCACAGTTTTTCTAGAAGAGCAACATACAGGTCCTCATTTAAAAAGAAATAATTAGGTGCTGGTGCTGTGGTACAGTAGGCTAAGCTGCAGCCTGCAGGGCCAGCATCCCATAAGGGTGCCTGTTTGTGTCCCCGCTGTTCCTCTTCAGCTCCAGCTCTCTACTTATGGCCTGGGAAAGCAGTGGAAGATGGCCCACATGCTTTGTCCCCTGCTCCTGTGTGGGAGACCCAGAAGAAGCTCTTGGCTCCTGGCTTCAGATTGGGCCAACTCTGGCCACTGCAGATATTTGGGGAGTGAACTAGCAGATGGAAGACCTTTCTGTCTCTTTCTCTCTGTACCTCTACCTCTGAAATAAATAATAAATCTTTAAAAAAAAGAAATAATTAAGCAAATACACAGAGAAACAAGAAAATACTCACTTAAGTGTGATGGCTAGTAACCCATTCAAATAGACACAAGGTGCTTCAAATCTTTTGACCTCTAACATCTTTGGCATTCTGGTCTTCAATGACCTGGTCCCCTATCCCACGTAGTGATAGATTCTACAAACATCCCCTTGGCTTCTCAGCTCTCACATGCTCTACTTTGAACTCTATTTCAAGCCTCTTACACTGCCCCACACCACCTTCTTCCATGTTATATACCCCAGTGAAGCACTACTATATCAATGTTATCAACATGCTTTTCTCTATTGATATTTTTTGTTTCTCCAGTTCTTCCTTATCAATTCATATAACATGAACATCATTACCATTTCTCAGTAATTACCCACTTTGTAATACCTAACATTGTATGGCCACATCAATAATATGCATTTAATTTATCTTTTCTTTCTTATGAGAGTGTACTGGTAGGCATATTAGTTCTTGATTTCCAAGGAAACTGCAGTCAAATGTTGGCTGGGGCTGGGGCATCCAGTTGCAAAGGGTCTTATTCACTCAGATGGGGAATGAATGGCAGGTCTGACAAGTCAGCTCTTCACAACACTGCCTGAGTGGCATCAGAGCCTGAGACTCAGCTTTCCCACAGCAAGAAATCAAAAATAGGAAGTGAAAGTTGCAGCAATTCTCCAAGCTAGCTTTGGAAGTAAAATGTCATTGTTTCTATCATATTCCATTTGTCACATAGGTCATTGGGAGTCATCTTGGAAAATGGGTAGAATAAGGTTGTTAGTATTTTTATTAAATTTTTTTGGACAGGCCGAGTTAGACAGTGAGAGAGAGAGAGAGAGAGAGAGAGAGAGAAAGATCTTCCTTTTCTGTTGGTTCACCCCCCAAATGGCCGTTATGGTTGGCGTGCTGCGGCCGGCGCGCTGTGCCTATCCGAAGCCAGGAGCCAGGTGTTTCCTCCTGGTCTCCCATGCAGGTGCAGGGCCCAAGCACTTGGACAATCCTCCACTGCCTTCCCAGGCCACAGCAGAGAGCTGGACTGGAAGAGGAGCAGCCGGGACAGAATCCGGCGCCCCAACCAGGACTAGAACCTGGTGTGCTGGCGCCACAGGCAGAAGATTAGCTTAGTGAGCCATGGCGCCGGCCTATTAAATTATTTTGTACAAAAATTTTTAAGTTATTTTAGACAGCAGCTTCAATATATTTTATAAACAAAGAATAAATGAGGCATGAAAGCTCATTGATAAGTGTTATGAAACTGCTCATTGTATCTTTTGTGAATCAAGGGCCTGTATATAGCTATAATGCAAAATTCCAGGCTCTCCACACAATATTGCCTATGTTCCCTCCTGACTCAGGGTTTGTGGCTAGGCTGCCTAAAGTAATGGATTTACACATCTCTTCAAGCAATTTTCAGAAGAGATAGCACAGTTTTTTGGCTTTTATTTTATTAGTAATAAAAAATGACACAAACGTTGATTTTTTTAAATAAAAGTCTGTGAATTTTAACCCACGTGGACTGGGCAACTACTAATGAGACCAGGTTGCAGAACTGGTCTTTCACCTCAAAATTTCCTTGTGATATCTCCTATGGGTGCACCTTCCCTGACAACTGAACTCTGATTATGTCAGTGTAGGTGTTGCTCCCCAATATTTTAATTTAAAGCTTTTGAAAATGTCTTCTAAAAGGAATCCTGTCGAATGTAACGTTGTGGGGCTGACTGCTTTTATTTGGTGTAATAAATTAGATTTATCCAACTTTTGTGTCCATTCCTTTTTAATGTTTGGTAGTATTCCACCAGGTGAATATAGGAAAGCATGTTTGCCCATTCAGCTACTGAAAGATTTTTTGTATTTATGCCAGGTTTGGCTAGTAGAGCTAAAATAAGTTTAAAGATATTTTCTTTTCCCTACAGTGTGGGATTGCTGAGTCATATCATAAATATAAGTTTATAAGAAACTGTCAGATGTATACATATTCTTTCCTGATTTGTGGTAATTAATATACAAAGTACAAAAAATGTAGCATATTCAGGCAAAATTGTTATTTTGAGATTTGATTATTGTTTATAGACCTTGTCTACAGTGATTTTTATACTTTCTACACATTGAATTCTTTATTTGGTGGAGGGTTAAGCTTGTGATTATAAAGAAAATTGTAAGTATATCATTGTAAAAAATGAAAGAAAAATAAGAAAAGAAGGAGAAGGAGAGTGGGAATGAAAGGAGCAGGGAAGTTATAATGGGAAGTATAGTTATGCCCTTAAAACTGTATCTATGAAATAAAAATCTTACTGAAAAAAATGAAGGTATAAAAAGAAAATAAAGAAGAGGGTCGTTTGAGGTGGGGAAGAAGAGAGGAAGGTATGGTTATCTTCTTAGAATTGTACCTATGAAACACATGGAATCTGTTACCTCTATACTAGTAAAATTTTTAAAAAGTATATTAAAACTAAAAAAAAAAAACAACAAACTCTCAACCTTTTCTATCACAAATGTCCAAATCTGTATTCCTACTAGAAATATCGAGATTTCATTGCTCTGTAACCTCACCATACACAACTTTAATTTGCATTTTCCTGATTATATTGACCATATTCTCATGTGGTTATGTCATACTCATAGTCCTCTTCAGTTAAGATTTGTTAAAAATTATTGTTTTTAAAATCATGATATTTGCTTGTAATATGACGTTTTCAGAGTTCTTTTTAAACCTAGACTGCTATTGGATACATAATTTGAAAAATGTTTCTTTTCAATTTTTTTCTTTTCTTAAAAAAAGATTTATTTATTTATTTGAAAGTCAGAGTTACACAGAGTGAGAAGGAGAAGCAGAGCAAGAAAGAGAGGTCTTCCATCCACTGGTTCACTCCCCAATTGGCCACAATGGCCGGAGCGGCGCCGATCTGAAGCCAGAGCCAGGAGCTTCTTGCTGGTCTCCCATACTGGTGCAGGAGCCCAAGGACATGGGCCATCTTCTGCTTTCCCAGGCCATAGCAGAGAGCTGGATCGGAAGTGGAGCAGCCCGGATGTGAACCGGCACCCTTATGGGATACCGGCACTGCAGATGGTGGCTTTACACGTGCTATGCCACAGCACCAGCCCCTTCAATTTCTTAAAAGCACCTCTCAAAGAACAAATTTTCTTTTAATCTTGAAAGAGTTTAATACATTTTTTAAGAGCTGTTCTATTGGTGTTACATTTAAAATTCTGTTTTCTTTTTTTTTTTTTCACTAGGCCAGGAATATTTTCTACTGTATTATCTTCTAAATTTTTCATAGTTTTGCACTTTATACTTAGAAACAAGATCCTCTTTTTTAAGATTTATTTATTTATTTAGAGTTAAAATTATAGACAGAGAGAGGGAGAGGTCTTCCACCTGCTGGTTCACTCCCCAGATGGCTGCAAGGGCCCAAGGCTAGGCTGATCTAAAACTGAGAGCCAGGAGCTTTTGAGTCCTTTTTGAGCTAAACTTTGTGGAAGACAAAAGGGTTAGACCAGGATTTCATTGCTTTCCAATTTTTATGCTAATTTGTTGGGAGGCCTATTCTTTGACGGGCACAGTTAGTGAGAGAGAGAGAGAGACAGAGAGAG